TCGGGATGCCCATCCGAGTTTCATGATCTCATCACCGTACAGCTGAAGCAGGGTGCCCGAAGATTTACCATAGTAGATATTGGCACCATTACCGGCTTGGCGCACTTGATCCAGGACGGGGAACAGCGCTGGCTTGTTAATAGTCGGATCGATTTACGGACGTTCAACGAAATATATTGAATGATTTGGCAAATCGCTCAGCCAGTATTCGATCCCACGGGAAGCACAATGCGGCGCAGGGCCAAAACCGGTCTTTGCATCCTGTTCTCATAGTATGGGCATGGGGCTGGGACACCTAGGAATTGATGGCATTCAACATATGGGACTTAGGCGCTTACGGCAAGAGAAGGGCGAGAATGAGGGCTATGGCGTGGATATCACATAACGGGAAGCTCTTGGAGTTGTAACCCTCCGTAGATAGCATAATGTAGATAGATTCGGAAGTCATAAAATGGAAATAAACTTGATCGAGATATGACATTCATAGTGGGAATGGGGCGGTGGCAAATGCAAGCCTACACGAGATACAGAGTCCTGAAATCGGTAGGACCCAATTCTAAAAGTAGAAGTGCGGCGTTAGGAGTTCCTAGTGAGGTGTAGGCTCTCGGGGGAGATGTGGACCGAGTCCAGACGCCAGAGGATGGGACGATGTGAACCAGACGGGGGGACGCCGGGTATCAAAACACGGTATCGCCGCCCTGAGAAGAGCAGATACGCCGAATGCGTTACAACAGGATGGAGAAAGAAGGTGTGGATACGGGTGTCCAGAATAGAATGAAAGGGTGGGACGTGAGTGGGGACGGCGTCAGGACGGCCGGACGTGGGAGGCGTCGCACATGACGGGATAAACCGGGGGTTGAAATGGAGCACGCAGCGGACGCGGCTGGCCGTTGCAACGCAAGACCAGACGCACAGGACGCAGGGGACGCAGGGGAAAAACACCGGGCGTCCGGACGCGGCGCCCGCGCGTCTGACGCAGCATTTATTTTCGCTGATGTAGTTCCGGATGCCGTTTGTAGACTGATGTCTCCACAACCAACTGCGGTAATATCATCTCCATTTCCAATCGTGATCGCAGTACTGACAATATCGACATAGTCCTCGAAAAGGTTTCGTTGAGCAGAAAGGTGTCGCGATGCTCCGGAATCGATTATCCAGTCGCTTCTGCTTACGACCTTATCTGACTGGCCGACAAAAGCCCAATGCCCTTCATTGGAACTTCTTTGTAAGTCCCCTTTCCGCTTAAGACACTCATTCTTCCAGTGACCTTCCTTGTTGCAATAATGGCACCGACCGCTGACCGATGCTGAACCTTGCCCATGTCCTTTGTTTCGACCTGAAGAACCCATTCTCATCCCACGACTTGAACTTCTACCGCTCCATCGACTGCTGCCTCTTCCACGCGAAAATGAAGAGCGCATACCAGAGCTTGCCGAAAAAGCAGAAAGCGGTTCCATGTCGCTTGTTCTACTACCACTTGAGCTTCGTGTAGCTTGTCTTCGACTTGCTTCCTGCAGTAACCTTCCACATAGGAAATCGAAGGTGACGTTGTCTGCTCTTGACTGCACTGCCATGATCAAAGGTTCATATGACTCGGGAAGTGAAAGACTTATCATTGATACTAGGTCACTGTCTGCGATTCCGAGGCCATCAGGTGCGAGGTTCGCCACCTGGGTTGAGAGTTCCTTGAAGTTGTTCAAGTGTGCTGACATATCTGGTCCTTCCTTTAAGTGTAAGCTCCAAAGCTTCTGCATGATAATCATGCGACCGTTCGACCCGATTCCCTGATGAACTCTCGCTAGCGACTCCCAGGCTTCTCTCGCATTTCGGGCTCCTTGGATGTGCGGGATCTGAGAGTCACGGATGTTGGGAGAAATGATCGTGAATGCCTGATCGTTACTTCTGTCTCGTGTTGCCTGGTCAATTGTGGAGTCCTGTATTGTACCGTCTTCTAGGACACGAGATAGTCCCTTCTCCCTGAGGATACGAAGGATTTGATACTTCCACGCTGCATAGTTACTCTTCCCACTTGCCATGGAACCATCCAGCTTCTCAATTGAGTGGCTTAGAGAAGTGAAGGTACTACTCGGGGCTGAGGGACTGGTCATGATAGAGGTAGTAGTCTAGTACTCGTGGGAAGTGCGTTCAGGGCCTTAGGATAATTGATGCAAAGAGAGAGTGGGTAAGCAGAAGATAGACTTGGATGATAGAGGTAGAATAAAGGATAGTTATGTCGTTGCGCGATCCGGGCTCATAACCTAAGAGATTTAGACTATGTTGGAATGAGAGTGTATTGAGGTTCTTAATGTTTTTACGTCGCCGGAGGTGTCCTATATATACACTGCCTCGACTTTTCCCAGTCTCCACTTCTGATCTTGTTCCAACTCGTCCAGGCCATTCCCTTCCAACTTCTTCTGATACAGTTTTCACCGTTCCACTCGGTCAAGGCCTCTAGCCTTCTATCCATCCCAGTATCTCCGACAGTCCTAACACTCATCGAGTTTCTTCCGTGTTTCCTAATCATCATAGTGCGACATCTTCCAGTCACAGCCCCAATAAACCTTAATCTCATACAAGCCATCGTCTCACTATCCTTATGGCTGAAACCCTTCAAACACTCTCGCTATACTTCTAAACAATACAGGCTTCACAAATCTCTGGCAATCTCCAAACAAACTAATGCACCTCCAACTAGGTTTTCCGAAACCGCAACCCAGATGATCGCGCTAACCTATTTTCATTGGGAACCTTCGTGAATTTCAACAGTTCCCAGGGCAACTTCAGAGTCCCCGGAGACACACACCTACAAGAGGATCGTCCGCCAAAACCTAAACCTCTCATATATGACGTGCATCATATTGCCTTTTCGGCAGTGCCGCTTGACGCTACTGGACAGTCCCGTGAACAGACGGAACGCTCCAAGCCGACATCGAATTCACGAAAGACGTACCCACCGAGGTGCACCCTGCCATACGAACACCCCAGATGCGCAAGACCTCCACGACTCTTATGGTGCAGCTGCTGCAAAACCTCTCCATCCGATTTCCCCCCAGTGAGGGCCTAGCCAGGATCGTTAAAACCCCCGTCTCAGTAACACCCGCGAAATTTCGGAAGGTGACGCTACCATGGGAAGCGCCCATTGTGAATGCCTAGGGTACATTTGCGGCCTTGAGGACAACGAGAGCATCTGCGTTGCTGTGGGCGCCATGGGGAAGGGAATGGATCACTTTGCCGATGGGTGGGTTGATGAAAAGACTGGTGTCAGCAATCACTAGCGGTCGGCGTGGGCTGCTTGGAGAAGGGTATTTCATGCTACAATTGATGTTGGGGGGCTGTTGGAGGGATATTGTGGCACTTCCCTCCTTCACCGTGCTGGAATATGTCGGTAACTCCTTTTGCTTTCGACATTTTCTCTTTCATATCCCTTCAAGGAGGAACATAGGAAACGAAATGGGTACGTTCAAGGAACTCAAAAAGCAAGGGAGATTTTACCAACCCATCACCCTCCACAGGCATTGGGTTGTATAGATTTTCCCACTCTTTTTGTTATCTGGGTTCGTTCTTGTTTCTCCATATTAATCCGTTTCACTAGGAATTCATGTGCTTGTTTGGGGAAAAGACAGGGGCGAATACCTCAATGTATATTAGCCTTGTCCACCTTGTCTTATTTGATTTCTTTCAGCATGATTCCCGTGCTTACGATAGGCTTCTTCTCCCAGGACCAGGTGTGGCGGTCAAGCATTCAACAGTACCTGCACTAGAGTACTGACGGCTGCTACTGTAGAGTACCACTAAGTTACTTAAGTAACTGTCAATTTAAATCGGCACCGTACTGTAACGAGTGAAGAGCCGCCCTCCGCCATTCTGTAGTCTATCCTCTGCACGTACATGCAATTGATTGTTTTAGGAATTTTACTATGGTGATGGGCAGCAGGCCACCTAGGCCCGACAAGCGAAGGGAGACTGGACAGTGGTTTATGATGTGCAATATGTCTTAAAAAAAGAGTTCTCCATCTTCCTCCTCCTTCTATCCTCCACTGATTATATCGCCCTCCTCTTCCAGCCTGACTGTTGGGCCGGTACCAAAAGTCGGAAGGGGCATTATTAAGCCAGCTCCAAAAAAAGGAGAAAAAACAACCGAGAGTGAGTGAGAAGCACTGAATAATCATTTCCGGAATGCCCTCCCATGTACTATTACCCCCTGGTATCGTACCCTCGAGGGCCCACTCTGGCCACTGTAGTAGCTGGTTCGAGAGAGCTTTGAGCAGGCGGTGATTGCAAGCCTTTCTGCATACGGGGTCGCGGAATTGGAAGCTTAAGAGGGTATTCATGGACTTTTGATGATAAAGATGATGCGTTGCACTGTCCTGCTCTAAGGTTTGACTTTTCTAATTTCAGTTGAAATGGGAATTCTAACACCATCCGTTGAAACCAGTGCGGGGACTCCACTTTCTATATTTTATCTTTTCAGAACGTTTCTTCACTCCCAACTCCCCCATAAGGCAAAAGCATTTCCAACAATGCTGGCAGCTACTTTTCCGATATGTTCCACAGCTTCCCTGGCCTGAGAAACGCCTGTATCATCCCGCTTCAAAGTAAAGTGTTGCTGTTCAATCGTAACTAATGAATCTGTGGCAACTCTTGTCTCTATTCTTTCTCCTGTCTCTCTGCTTTCACCTTAGTTAACTAGATCCCAGCTCCATTCCAAATATATCATCTCCCTTCTCCGGGACTCTCGGAACAGGAAACTACTGTACACCCTGTATAACTTCCAATTCCAGTTTCTAACTGTTTTAGTAACTACTGGATGGACAGCCTTTGAATTTCATCACGATTCTTGTATTTTGCACATCCCATTTATCTTCCCCCAACTCCTGCAGAAGCTCTGACTGATAAATATAAGTTCCCATTATAAGCACACCCCCTAATGTGTCTCACTTGCTCACCCGTTAAGAGAGGATTTCATTAAGGATTTGGAGAATGGAAATTTATTACAGTTGGCAACCGCAACCACCGTGGAATGTAAGATGATTTCAATAGTTCTTTTTTTTCCAGGAAACGCCTTGACATGGAGTAGAATCCACTAACCTGGTCAAACCGTTGAGTTTCTGGATAGAAACATGGACCGGAGCGACAGGAGACCCTATGGTGTCGGGGAGGATCTGGTGTGATAGCTTCACTATACTCAATTCGATCTCATGGTGGAGATTGCGAAGGTGGAGTCCTTTAGCACTAGGGGGTGGGATAGAACAACAAGGACTAATGTTTATTTTTGAATTTTTCTGAATGGGACAGAATGAAAAATGATATTTTATGCTACGCCTTTGTCCACCCTGTGTGATGATAGTAAATATAGTCATGGTAAAAGAGTACAGTCCATACAACCATCCTGGATTGCGCTGAACCAATTTTCTCAACCGTCCGGGTGCCCATGGTGCCTGGAGCATGGACTGGCAAGGGCCCTGGACTGGACGGGGCCGCAGAAGATACCGAGTCCTCATTCTGCACATCCCAAGATGCCTGCCCCTAGGGGGCCAGAGGCAACCTGGGACATTACTAGTCAGGGTACTACCAGGATGGCTAGCAGACCACAGGATCAGTATATGGAGGGGTGAATCCAGATATTAACACGATGCAAGATCAGCTTTAAGCACCTGAATCATATTCCATTAGACTTCGTTCCTCTTCTGCTATCAAGCCTCTTTCTCTTTTTTTCTGTTATCTCTACATTCACATGTGTTATCCCCTTCATACTCACCCGCTCTAAATCTTACCTCTATCTATACTTTCATTGTGTTAACAAGTCCCTGATTGTTGAATTCTGTTCATACAGATTAAGTTACTCATTATTTGCCATGCCCGCACCCTCCATCTGGGTACTGTTACAGTTTGTATCATATGGAAATAAAATTTTAGTAAATAAAAAATGAGACCTTACCCTAGTGGGTACAGATCAAGCTTATTATGAGGAGAAGAGCTCACATATTCAGTTGCGCTAGAAGTGTTCTCAACCCGAAATCCTGAATAGAAGATTGTTCTCAATATCATATATTTATGTTGCAGAGTGGAGATAATGCAATATTTCTAAATTGCAATGAACAGGGCCTTGGTCATACGATCGAGGCTATGTTTGAGCGAGGGTGCTGGTGTCTCATGCCCCTTATTGTTTCTACCTGGCCTGCAGGTCCTATATATATACAATTTACCTCCGTGCGAAGCAGACCATGCTCCATGCCCAGTCCAGTGTCTCACACTCTGCATTCCATTTCCACACTCTGCTCCACACATCTGTTGTGATTTGCATGTATCACTCGTGAGCCCCATTCACGCAAGTAATCCACGGTTATCTAAACGTACTACTAGATCCTCTCTGGTTTCACCATGCTCATACAACTCCCTTGTAGCAAGGCCCTGGTCTGTGTCAACCCCACCTACTACTTCTGGTCAACCCTCCTAGCGTTCACACTAATTCCTGAACCCTCTCAAACGCTCATGCAACAAATGAATCCTACAGAAAGTCCTGAACCCCTTCAAGTGGCTTTCAAGATAACTCTCCAAACAAAAATAGTACCACCGATGAACTACCATCTTCAATGATTCTCCATAGCTGCAAACATCATTATGGGCTGATTCAAGTGTCCCGAATTTCAGTCCGGCATGGAGGGGCTCAAGGAGTTTATCCTTGATATTTTGTCAGACAAAAAGAAAATCGGTCGTCTCCTGCTACGGCGCAGGTACCCTAGGTGAATTCTTGCAGGGCGGAGCTTGGAGACGAATGGTGGCAGGGCTCAAATCTCCGTGTGATGGCTGCTCATATCATTAGAGATCTGTGCTTTGTAACAAAATTGGTAGTGGAATCTGATCGGGTATGCGAGAACCTTATTCTGAAGGGAACAAGATAGAACTGAAGACTTGACTTGAGAGATAAGGAACTGGGAACTTGCTTCTTCAGCGGAGGTGGGTCACTGTGGCCCTTAAGCACAAAACAATAATGACTCCTAGGAGTCTTAGGGTGCGTCTGGTTGTCTGCGGGTTCAGAAAATGCTAAAACCGCAATATACAGGACGTACCCTACAACTTGAGTTATTCCAAATTAGTATAATCTATACAAATAAGAGCCAAGACACTGTGTCTGGTCAATCCTGATTCATGCCAAGAAATGTACTGTACCTTGTCCACTCCCCTCATACTAGGTATTATAAAAATAAGAAAAAAAATAATACCGAGAAAATACTCACATTTGGGCTCTGATAACTACTTTTCTTATCCTTCTAATACCTACCATTAAGAGTAGCAGTTGTGATGTCTTAATACGTTTTAGGAAGACTTTCATTATGTGGTTTTGTAAAAAATAAGTTCCCCCCATTTTTCGGAAACCTTCATTTTGTACTGATTATTGCAACTTGAGAATTGTATCTTGGTGTCAACCAGACACGCCACTGCAGAGCAAAATAGGGTTCTGCTGCGGACTTCCATAATCGTGCTCGGGATGAATGTTTGGCGTGGCAACAAGAAGCACCCTTAACATAACCTGGCCTGTTCCCACCACCTGACATGCCACCTTCCCTTCGTTTCTTCACCGGTGTTTCTCACCACCCTCTCACCTACTAGACTCTCTCACCTCGCCCCCACCACTAGTCTTCCGGTCTTCTTTGCCACACTGCCTTCAAGGATGTTCTTTGATATTCTCTCCGATACCTTCTTCACCCTTGTTCAGGGCTCGTCTCTCTGATCCTTTCTTCACAGCTATTGTGCCCACAGCTTTCTGCTTTTCCAAGACCACTACCCCTCTTTTCTTGTCCACCATTCCACGGTTTCTGACCAACAAGATACACCTCCGGTAGAACAGAAATAACCATAGAACAAATTCTGGAGACTAGCTCCAGGGCAAGAACCAGTGATCAACAATACTTTGTATGGAAAACTGACATCTGGTGGGGGAACGCTTTGTTGGAATCCCCTTGGACCGCACAACTCTTAGTGCCGAAGGTCCCCTCGCTGCAGTACACAATTCTAGTACCGCGGATCCCGCAAAGTACACTGCATGAATTCCTTATACCACCCATAGTCACGTGCGCCACAGGACGCCCCCCAACAGTTGGGAAATCTCCTCCTCCACAGTACAGAATCCATTGTCCGAATCCCTTCCAACAAAATGCTGGTAGTTCAGTCGCTTCTCACCAGTTACAACTGTAAAGGTAGGGTAGCCAGGGTGAAGGCAATTCATTACCGGTATACCAGTGAGTGGTTTGGTGCTGGTCCTCGTGTTGGTCTC